TGCGATCGTGCGCGTGAGCTGTCGCGGTGGCGGTGTCGGCGGCTACGGCGGCGGTGTCGACGACAAAAGCACGGACACGCGAGGATTCGAGGTGCAGGTGGCAGCACACGGGCTCACCACCCCAACCAATGTTGGCCAACACGTGGGTTCCTACTCCCTTGCTATTCCTGAAGTGTCACGTAGCATGACTTTTGCCAGCCTTTTTGTCCGTCCATCCGTGAGTCCGTCCGTGGGTCCGTCCGTCCGTCCATCTGTCCGTCCGTCGGTCTGTCTGTCTGTCCGTCCATTCTGGTCCACTGAAAGACTAAAAAATTCCTGTGATCCACAATATTCCTGTTGGAAAATAAACTTGAGATTCTTTCTGATGGCCTTGCTCAATTCGAAATTAGATCTGACATTTACGTTTTCGCAGTAAGGGAGACCGGGGCTAGTTGGTGCAAATGGCGGTTTGGCACACGGGTTCCTATATCGGCTTGGTAGCCCTAGTTTCGTGTCATATGCCCTTCATGAATTAACGAACTTCCGACAGAAGTCTCACAATCTGTATGGTCCACAAAATTATGGTGGAAACGTGATCACAAATGTATTTCAGAGCTTGAAGAGTATTTTTTTCCTATTTCATTTATTATCTTACAGTATTATCTTCGTAAATTTTAATTCATTCTCTTTTTTAATTGAGACCTTCAACCAATCAAGATTTTCGTGCACCACTTGTTTTCTGTTTTTCAACTCCCTCCCCAATCTGACAATTATCTGCACAAAATAAAACTATTTGTCTGGTATTTTTATTTACAACTACTGTAAAAGAAGAGGACACAGTTAAGAATATTGTCTTAGTTTTTTTCAAAATCCTTGTGCTTGGGTTTTAAATCCGTTATTCGTTATATAAACTCAATGCACAATTATCATACGTAAGTATATTTGAGCCGATCTTTTGCCCATGTTTGATCAATTTCATGAATCAGTTTGATGAATGCCCATGAAAATTTGCGATATATCTCAATGTACAGACAGCGCAACGTATCGAAAAACACAATGCAATATTTTCCCTTTCTTGACCTTCTAAGATTAAATCAGGCCCTATAAAGCACTCCACAACCCTCATATTTCAATTTCAGATACTATACAGAGCTAGCATTTCAACTTTTTCAAAGCGTGTCTGTTTACACCTGGAGGATTAGCTTCTCGACCCACAGGCAACGACAACTCAACTGACTCGAGAATATGGATGAGATAACAACTCGCTGCAGCCGGGATCGATTTTTTCGCCTTTATGCGGGCGGGTGGTTTGGGCGAGCCCTCTCAGCCTGCACTTCTGTTGCACTTGGTATATCGCCGTAACAAAATTATACAATCCCGCCTCTCAAAATATGTAGATTCTTCAACGATTCTTTTATATCCTTAGCGACTGAGTAAGAAGTTCGTAAAACAGCTCAAAATAGGTACCCGATGGGGCAGTTCCTGCCATCAGCAAATGCCACTGGTTGGAAGATCTTACGATTCGAATCTGGTGGGGGTGGCTTTTCGTTACTAGCTTGATAGCTAGGTCGACTTCAAACGCTGTCAGAATGAGAATTCGAGCAACCGACTTCTCTGATAGGTAGTTTTCCTCGGTTTCTCCGATCAATACTAAGTGAATGCCAGAGCAGTTCCCTAACAAAAGGGTCACGGACCACGCGCTATCTTTCCTTCCTTATCCGCAACCCTCCCTGCACCCTTACACACATCACATGCACTGAACTAATAAACATGCCAGACGGGACTAATAAACATGCACACAGCATGCAGACGATGTTCCGCTGACGGAGATCCCGCTAGTCGACGTGTTAACTGACACCCGGCGAGCCAACGTGTAGATCAGCGTCGGATATCACTCTCCAGCAGGGGAGAAACACCAACTCCCGGCATATAACACGCACTACACATTCGGTCTTATGACATTGCAATTGATACGCCATGGAATATCAATCGATCAAAATGGTAAGTTTCGAAGTACGAGCAGCTACTGTAGTATTCACTGTTTGGTAGCTTCGTATCCCGTTAAGTGAAATACGCTGCATACGTTGAATGAGAATCATGTTGTAACAAAAAGTGAAATGAATCTTCTTCTGCAGACGAAATAACCTGAAACATTTGACCACATCCTCGATTTTCTTCAGTAAGTTCCACGTCTCTTGAACGGTATTTGGGGCGAGTGATTTGTAATACAAAACACGATTGCATAATATTATTTGCAATGTTGGGTTCGAAACGTAATTTCAACGTGAGATCGTTCACAGCACAGAAATGAAACGGACCGTGTGCATTGAATCTAAAACGGTGAAGATTCTTGCCACCTGCTTGCCATGTTACAGGTTTAGGACCTGTCCGTGGTTCCTGACGTAGTATATAATTAACTTCACCTCATTTACTGGGTAAAAATCACTTATGACGTCAATGGTCTAGAATCGAGGTTCAAATGTAGATCAATTGCATTCTGTCTGAGAATGCGGAAATCAATAATTGCGAATGAGAATTAAAATATCAAGAGAAACACACTCGTTTTTAGGATATGAGTATTTTTTTAAAGTACAACCTTCTTAACATCGTAGTCACCATTTCTTTCGAGTGATATACGTACACTATGTCAAAGAGTAGAAATATCTTTCACATCTATGTAATTGAGCTATGTAATCAATACAATGAGTCCTGTCCAAACCAAGTGGCATTTGTGGAGTCCAAAGTGCGTTTGCTGTAGGTTTTCTGGGAGTTCTTTGGACTTCCCTGCCAATTATTCACTTGTTTCATCGTTCATTTCATACCTTCATAATTACCAACTAATCAAAATATTTCGTCCATTCCTTGTGTGGTAATAATGATTAGACACGGGCATGAAAATAAATAATATAAATAAATAATAGAAATTTGACGTGGTTTAAATTAATTTAAATTAACTCAAAATCACACCAGATGTTACTGAGCGGTCTTCAATAAGGTCCAAACATAAGAAATTCACAGGTTTTTACGACAAATCAAAAAAGGAGACAAGGACCATTTGGACCGAGGAGAGGAAAGAGAAACATCGGGCCGGAATTAAATAGATATGGAAGAAAAAAAAGAAATGAAATCAAAAGATGAAATAAACGTAGTCCAGGGTGACTTATTCGAAGGAAAAACATAGAATATAGACGTTTGTTAAGGGCTATCGACAGAATTGAAAAGTGCAGTTTCTAATTGGAAGGAGCAGTTTCGACATGAATATCTCCACGTGCATACACGTCGAGACGTCTGTAAATATCTTACCAGAAAGTAATTAAACGCTAAATTAAGACAAACGCTATTTCGTTCAGCAAGGAAACCCGTGGCGGAAATGACGTGAGGATATGACGAAGAGTGGGCCGCATAACGGAGACCAGAGTCCGCCTGCTCTTTCGATTGCCTCACAAGCAGTCACAAGTCGTCGTCGGGGGCGCTGGCGCTGGCGTTGGCGCAGGTGGGCCCGGGACGGCGTCTCGGGCCGGATCTGCGCAACGCGAACGCCGCCAGGCGTCTGCGGCGTCGGCAGCGGCGGCGGCGACGGCTGGCGCAGCGACCGTAGGCCAAGGGAGGCGGGCCGGATTCGGGACAAAGGCAAAGCTGGTTTGTTCGCTCGCGCACCGGCTCCGCCTGCTG